AGCGTGTTCGTTGGACGGATCCAGACCGTGGGAAACACCATGATGTGCAAGGGGAAGAAGGTGTGGTTACGAGGGGGATTTAGATATATAGAGGAAGATCTATATGGAGGGGAATTGATAGTTTGGAATTAATTAAGTCTCGCATTGAATTTTGTATGCTATTATTTTTTTTGTCTTGCCATTTTTTCGTATAGTGTTTTCTCTTCTATTGCATCTGGGTTCAAGCGTGGGTCTGTTTACATTTACAGGTTTGTGAATGTAAACAATGTGGCTCCTGTCTGTAGCCACTTTGTAATATGAGATGATCCATCAGTATGCGGTTGGATTGGATTTGAGATCAGTGTAGGCGACCAGCTGAGCGGTGCGTCCCACCAGCAGCAGCAGGCGCTGTAAATCACACTTTCCCAAGGCGGTGGGATCCAGTACTTTGCATTTATGAGCGAGTCTTACAAATATATCAGAGCGCAAATTACCCCTAAAACAGCAGGTTGGCCTGGTGTCTTGGAGCTCAAGCGTGAGTATCAAGGAGAAAGTTTTTTTCCCAAACACTCCCAATTTGTGAATCTAAACCTTCCCTCGGTAAATCTGAACCCCCCCCCCCCACCTCCACCTATGGGGTTACAAGCCTTAACCTTCTCTCACGTAAGTCTGAACCCCCACTTACTGAGTTATAGGAGTCAAAATGAGTAGTAATTAGTTGTTGTAATACTTTCATTACTGTTTCTTCGACTTCATAACATCAAATTCAAATTTAAATTCAAATTTAAAATCTTAATTAATATATGATATTGCATGTATAAATGATTTAGTTACAAAATAAATAAGTTGATTATTCATTTGCTCAAGAAAAAGTCATTATAATAGCATAAAACGTAACATTGCACCTATAATACAAATGACAACACCAATTGTAACAATGTTATCGACATTCACATATACATTATAAAATACAGGAGACGAGTTAATTTTTATACATCTTCAATTGTATAGCAATAAATAGCTGATTCTGATTCAGAAACTTTATTTTAATAATTGTAAAAACTATTTGATGACAATACGAGGGGTGACATTTATATTGGCAAAGAGAGAAAATCAATAAAATCATTCAGTTTTTCAATGTGTGCCTTATTGACTAAATATAACATGAATTTCTAGAAATTTGCACAGCCTCTGAATGTCACATCATCAGCTGAGTCACGGGCTATACTGGATCAAACTCATTTTGATTACTCAGCTCTTGTCACAGGGATTTGTTTTCAGCGGGATTGAAATTCCTTGTCAACAAGCTTTGTGAGAGTAATTCCTTAATGATATTAGGTATCCAGCAATGGGTATCCATGGTAACTTGTTGCCTTGAATCCCAGAGACCTGCAACACCGCGTTATGCACATTGCTCATTCTCAAATTGTATTGTCTTACAATCAAGTTAATAAAATCAGTAGGAGCCATGAGGAGGATTCAGACCTACACATTGGGTACTACTATCCACACGTCCTAAACCACTAGGCCACGATATGCTGCAAAAGTAATGTTACCTGGGATTCCACTGAATCCTCAAAGGTTCCTGAGGCATCTTCTGATCCCAAATCAGGGTTGTAAACATAACCCGCATACGCCTTTGCTTTTCTCAGTACATCAATGTTGTACTCTCCTTTCGTTTCCCCTCGCTCATACTGCTATCTTTGTTTCTTTCAACTTATTCTCTTCGCTATTTATTTTTCCTGAATTTCAACCTTTAGTTTCTTTATTCTTTTACTTCAATCTTACAATCAAGTTGTAAGAGTGGGGTAACTTTAACTTTAACCTTCTATCTATACTTAATCTTATTTCTATACCTCAACCTTATTTCTATACTTCAATCCTCAACCTTCTCGCCCTTCACTCTCACCGTATATATTGACTTTCTCTCGCACTCTCTGCTTTACATCACATGATAATGGTTGAGGAGGTAACGAGGCGTCCTCACCTCCCTGATCTTCAGATGTTGAGTGTCTGGTTCTCAGCCACAATGTTGTGACTTATTGTCTACAACAATTTTGTTGTTGTGCAATCGGTGCCTCTGTTCACTTAGTATTAAAGTAGGTTCCCGGGAGTTAGGCTACCGTTGTGGGTTGTATCCTGGGGGAAGGTGTAGTCACAATGGCCTAGACTACTACCCTAGTTATGCCGAGCTATGCTTCCTGTCTCCGATAATCGGACAGTGGAAAATGCCCCGTGTCCTGTGTTGTATATCATGTTCTGTGACCGATGTGTCACATAAGTTCATGATCCAGAAATACTCCGGAAGAGAAACTTGTGGATTCTATACTCATCCGGTGAGTGGTAGTATATTGTACACCCAATGTACATCCTACGACCAGAGGTTACGACCTCTCAGTAGGGTGCAGTCGCACCTCCACAGACCTCCATTATCAGTTAATGATACTGGTAATGGCTCCAAAGGGCCACCACGTACGGGCTATTCATGCCCGTGCCACCTTTTGGGTGGCTTAATCTTCATCAATCAATCAATCATCCTACGAGCAGCTGCTTACTGTGCACTTCGTACTTACGAGCGGGAGCGCAAAGGGGTTACAGAGGGCGCTGAAGGTCTTAATCAGACCCTATAGTGGCTATTGTTTGACAGGGGTTTATACAATAGATCTGTACATCTTATAATAAGGATAGCACTGTTTCCTGTGGCCAGCGTGGTCTCACAGGCGTTTTGTCCTTGCTCGTACACAGCCCTAAATGTACTTACTTTAATATACTCGCCTAAATGTCCTTTCAGGGTCGAGCGCTAACTCCTGAGACCCGCTATATGGTTGTTCGCATTAAATCTACACATATCTCATTTTTCAGTGTTTTATAAGTTCATGTGCAAATTGAATTATGTAATATAGATGTGGGATTAGGTCGCCAGCCAGTTGGAATTATGTAATTTCAGGTCATTCGTATTCATGCATTCGCCACTTACATGTAATGCATGTTCGCAAATCTCATTGTTTTATATATTTTTGCTGAAGTTCACATTGTTATTTGGCCCTAACGTTTCACTGGGATTTATACAGAATATGCAATAAGTATATCTGGTGTGATTGTAACGTTTTAGCGGGAGTTTTAGACACGTTTCCGGCGGGATTTATGAGTTTGACAAGCGAGCCTCACTGACATAAAGCCAGCCACTATAATAAACATTACAGTCTCATAACCACGGTGTTGGCAGGCTGAACTGTACTGTTATTCTGTCAACGACCATACATGTGTTTATTGTGTTATTAAAGACACTTTTTCATTCCTACATTTCTTTACTGTAGGTTATTTTATAGATGAACTGTGTTCCTTTGTTCTGAGGAATAAATAGTTTCATTAGTCTTCTTATAGTCTTAGTTATTATATTCTTCACGTCACATACGTTCATATTCTTACTGTAAATCGGTGGTTCTGAGAGTCCGAGTTCACATTCCTCCCCTTGCGATCCCAGGTTTCCTCAGTACATTCTTTCCCAGTTTGGAGTTCCTCCCTGCAACCCGTCCTGTTAAATATAACGTCACTTTTCGCCCGTGTGCGCGCTATGGCCAAATATGGACGTAATTTGAAATGAAATCTGCTCACGAACGTGACATACTGTCCCGTTTTCTGTTTGAGTCGTCTGGCTTACTTGGTAAGGTTAGGAGAGGAAACTTTCAGTTAACGTTTTTCATGACGTTTCGAAACTTCCGGAGAATTTCCTGCCCTCCTAATTTACCAGAGGACCCTTAACCTACTGTTTTGACAAAAAAAAAAACTTCGACCCGATGCCTCTGTTCATCTAGCAGTAAATAGGAACATGGGATCCCCCCATTTACTCTGATGAGTTTTCCAGCTGGATTTATAAGGTGGAGAAGGCCAAGAAGGTGGAGGAGGCCAAGATCGTCAGCAGTTTCAAAGCGTGATATGACAAAGAGTGCTGGGAAGACGGGACACTACGAGCGTAGCTCTCATCCTGTAACCACACTTAGGTAATTACACACACACACACACACACACACACACACACACACACACACACACACACACACACACACACACACACACACACACACACACACACACACACAATGTGGGTGTGTGTATGTGTGTTATTCCTTAAGTGTAGTTACAAGATACAGTCGTGGTGTCCCGTCTACCTGCCTCAATACAAAAAAAAAAAATTAAATTTGACTAAATAATAACTTTATGATTTTCATAAGAGCTAAGCACTGAACCATGGATAGATTATATTATAATCATTTTTACCAGTTTCTTCAAGATCCCTCTCTTTTTTTATGATGGTGGAGGTTGCAAGTTTTATTCTCAAATTTTGTTATATTCGCGTTTATTTATATAAAATTTCAACAGTAATGTTAAATTCATAAATGCATGTATCTAAATATTGATATGTATTCTGATAAAAAATAAGGCAACATATAATAACTTACAGATTTAATCTATATCAATAATTAAAATATATATGTTGCATATGCTGGCATGAACGTCTGGAAGATAGCCAAGTATACAAAGGTAGATAATTTATTCAGACACATAAGGTGCTAACATCCTGGATAAGGGTATTTAAAATTCATCCCTTATCTCTGTATGATGTTGCCTACATGATCGCGCATTAAGATAAAACTTCTAATATGCTTAGTATTTTGCGTTCAGGCTAAAATTATGATTGATAAGTCGATCGTCCTCGAATAAACAGTTATCGCATGAAGATGAGCATTATATTTCAATTATCCTGGTATGTGGCAGCTCTTAAGGAAGTATATTAAACAAGGAAGTTACAGTACGTGGCTGTGGACTGATTCCACTTGGGGGAGTAAGACCGAATTAGAATGAGCTTTACCAATCCTGTATGGTCACGCTCGTATATTTAAACAAATTCTGGACATGTTAATAATTGTTATTATATCCAAAGGGCAAACCAAGAACCACAGTTGCATCGGTAATCAAAGTTATTATCTGTTATCAGGGAAGGAGAATCCCAGTGAAGGAAAACGGCGCTTTAACTTCCGTTCTCTGTGGAGGGACTCACGCCTACTTTTGCTGTAATGTGTTCATAATACTGTCTATTTATCGTTATCCACACTCAGAGCTTGCGCAGATGCGCTTACGAACTAATATAGTACGAAGCTATTGGCTGGGATCCAAGATAGAAGAGATGGTATGAGACAGTAAAGGGTTAACAGAGCATGCGTATAGCAGCGAGTGGCTCAGTGTTTACTGTTGTGCTGGGGTGAGTGTCGAGTTGGCACTTGGCGACTCTCTATTTCTCATTCTCCTGTGAATTTATGGAAGCCTGACAAGATGAATCGACCAGATGGACTTATTCAACGAAGGAACGTACAAAAAGACAAGGAAGAGAAGAACACACAGAACGAGAGCGACGAGGAGAAGCGAAGACATTCGAGCGGAGACGACGATCTGGACGATGGGGACTCTAAGGAAACAAGACTCACTTTAATGGAAGAAGTCCTCTTGCTGGGCCTCAAGGACAAGGAGGTGAGTCCCGCGTCCCTCCCCCCCATCCTTCATCCCTCCCAATTGAAAGGAAAAGGGTATTTGGTTGTTCATATGGGAGACGTGCTGGCACCACCTTCCCCTGAGGGTTCCTGGTCATTGTACCGACGTGGCCGCTTTACCTGAGCCGCATATCCAGCTGGTGTGACCTGCTCTCCTGGCACCTTGGCCCTCTGCTCGTGCTCTCCTGGCACTCTGGCCCTCTGCTCGTGCTCTCCTGGCACCCTGGTCCTCTGCTCGTGCTCTCCTGGCACCCTGGCCCTCTGCTCGTGCTCTCCTGGCACCCTGGCCCTCTGCTCGTGCTCTCCTGGCACCCTGGCCCTCTGCTCGTGCTCTCCTGGCACCCTGGCCCTCTGCTCGTGCTCTCTTGGCACCCTAGCCCTCTGCTCGTGCTCTCCTGGCACTCTGCTCGTGCTCTCCTGACACTCTGGCCCTCTGCTTGTGCTCTCCTGGCACTCTGGCCCTCTGCTCGTGCTCTCCTGGCACCCTTGCACAGCCATGCATCAGTTCCAGTTTCATTCACGTTTTATGGTTTTTAAGAACTGTTGCAACACTGGTGTCATTTGTGAGGTTGACATTTGTCAACAATTCTGGCTGTGGTTTGCTAGTAGATTAAGAGCTTATAACTGATGGTATATTATTATGTACATTGCCATCATAATTTGTAGCCAACAATTTGGTATGGATCAGAGCCTTGTTCTTAAATCACAAATCCACAGCCTTCAATATTTCTAAAACTATTGCAATGAAATTCCACACAACTTTTATCTCTCAATATCTGTAGGGTGCTGGTAAAATTTTGAAATTACAAATTCAGAGAATATTTAAATTATACTAATACTCAAATAATAATACAATACTCAATTATATCAATAAGAAGAGCCATTTACTAATTTGAAATATAGATTTAAAAACTCATAGAATTAAAGAACGAATGAGCATTTTAGTAGGCCTACTAGCCCATGCAAGGGTGATCTAATTTACACTAGTTGCTTTTTGAAACCTTATAACGTATTTACTTTAACATGTTCTATTATTGGAATGCTATGTCTAAAGGGACATGGTCATTTTATATATATTACAGATTACCATCAGATTTTTTCCTATTAACCTACCATATCTAACTATCTAACCTAATCCAACCAAACTTAGCATAAACTAAATGCAACCAAACCAAAATAGAGAGTTTTAACAATTAAGAAAAATAGCTATACTGTATGTGAATGCTTGTGTATAATTTAAACATACGGTTAAATCACTGGTCTTCCGACTAATTGGTTTGCATCATGAAAGGTCCCACTCTGCCTGTGTACCAGTAAATAAAATTAATACAAGATATATAATAATTTATTCTTATAAATATTGCAAAAAATATAGAAAATACATAAAAGCTCAAATATATGGAACCATGCGCTCGGTCGACCCATACTTTTATCAAACTCGCCAAGCAAGACAAAGTTCGTAAACCGAGTCAAATTTTTCAAAGAAATTGAGCTCGAAAACCTAAAAATTCGTAAAGTGGGGCATTCGTAAACCGAGGTTCCACTGTACATCAATAATGCATCAACAATTACAATCATAGACCATCCACATAAAGTTTACACTTCTAAGTAACACTTATAAGCTAAAATAAATATTAGACATAATACCAAAATAAGTAATGGGTCACATTTAAAGAGTATCTCGTAGCACCACAGTAATATCCAAGCCCTTCTTAGAGCATCTCACTCCCTAACCTCTCCTGGCCTAGTCCCCAAAACATTCAGACATCTCCAGTCCAGACTGGCTTCAAGTAACCTTGTTTAGGCTCCCACACTAGCAATCTGTATCTTTCCTGTACACAGAGGTCCAAAGCAAATCTTTAAATGGTAACTTGCTTGACATAGGTAAATAACACACATTATATACTGTATGTTAAGTACCTAAACAAAGGAAATACCTGTACAAGACAATATTTTTACATCCTGTACCTTTACACCCTAAAATGGGTGTGAGCATAACGCTAACACAAAGTAAATTACAATATGTAATGGAATGCATGTACATTCATTAACTGCTAATTTTTGCTAAATGATCGACCAGCTACACAACATACAGTAATTCCTCAGTCACTTTGAATTCATACTAGGGAGGGATGGCAGAGAGGTGCCTGATTTCATTTGTATTACCCAACCTTGTCTCATGTCACTGCTATACTATCTTCTCATTCTGTTTGCCTCTTACATAAGGATTTTTCTTTTTCATTTCTTTAGAGCTTCGACCTATAGAAATTAGGAAAAATTTGATACACTGTATATGCTGAAAATTTCTTAGGTTTTCACTACAATGTAATTAATTTGTGTATTACTGTACTTCTTTTGCAGGGGTATACAAGCTTCTGGAATGACTGTATATCCTCAGGTCTAAGGGGATGCATCTTAATAGAACTAGCGCTGAGAGGTAGAGTAGAGCTGGAAAAAGCTGGTTTGCGGCGAAAATCTCTTCTGAACCGCAAGGTGAGATATTAGTATACATGTGCTTAATAAAAAAAATTGAAAAAAAGTTAAATGTAATAATATTTCTGTCAATTGAAAATGTTTAGTAGGTCTGCAATAGTTATTGTACATGGTTTATTCCAAGACCTTTAGTGCATTTATCTTCTGCGAGCTATTCTTTGAAAGAGCTTGAGCAAAAATATAAAGGCTCAAAAGTCCTCAAGATTTCCCCCATCCACATAGGAAAAATAATCCTAATATAGTTTGTCAAGTAAGCTAAATCATAAGTCTTAATATTCAGTAAATTACAGCAGCTACAAGAGATGTACTTTATGTAATATAGTACAGTATTGAACTATTTCTTACCTTAATTAAATGTTTACTAGAACTAAAGGTACATACAGTATGTGGATAATATTAGGCCTTGAATAATTTGTTTTTGTTTTTATCACCCCCCCCCCCCTACTATCATATCCTCTTAATATGTAACCCTAATATGTAACCCAAATACCCAAGAACATAAGAATAACAGAAACTGACGAAGACCGTTTGACCCATGCGAGAGAGCTCCTGTTCATATCCACCCAAACATACTTATGTACATGTCTAACCTACCTTGCGGTTACCTTGCTATGATTTCGAGGCGGTCCATTCCCGTGGTCCATTCCTTGACCAGGCCTCCTCATTGCTGGACTGGTCAACCAGGCTGTTGGATGCGGCTGCTCGCAACCTGACGTATGACTCACGAATACTCAAAACACACTGTTGATCATGTTATTTTTCCTGGTTATTTATTCCATAAATAGACAACCCAGTTTCCACACCCATATTTAACCAGGTCTTTTCTAAATGTAAATTTATCCAATAAATATCGATTTTTTAATTCAAAGCTTCCAAAACCTTTTCCTTTATTACCCAAAACCCTTTGCAGTATCAGAAAGTCCTTTTTACCCAGTGTAGATAAGTAGGAAGTAAACAGAATATTTGATGCCATGTTTTTATTTTAAACATTTTAGCAGCCACAAAATATGGGTACTTATTCATTTTGAGTATTTTATCTATCTTGAGATCTTAGATTATCTTGAGATGATTTCGGGGCTTAGCGTCCCCGCGGCCCGGTCCTCGACCAGGCCTCCCTTTTGCTACATACCCCCCAGGAAGCAGCCTGTAGCAGCTGTCTAACTCCCAGGTACCTATTTACTGCTAGGTAATAGGGGCATCAGGGTGAAAGAAATATTTTATCCCTACTAATTAGTGACTGGTTAACTAGTTTGACTACTAGTTAACCAGTCATTGGGAATTACATATACTGTATTTATTGAAATCATATTACCTTATCTTGAGTAGTTGTTTACTCAACTAAGTTTGTTCCAGGTAATTCTGCGATCTGACCAGCCGACTGGAGATGTACTTTTGGACGAAGCACTAAAACATATAAAAGAAACAGACCCACCAGAGACTGTTCAATCTTGGATTGAATTTCTTTCAGGTAAGAAAAGTGTATGGCAGGATATTGGATGGAAGAGTGCAGTTTAGGAAAAATTAAGAACGTGGTCAGTGATGAATAAAGTGGGTGCTCTGTCGGAAGATGTTGTGTGGGTGAGATGCTAACATGAACAAAGCTGGTAGGAAAGGCATGTAAGAACAGTTGGAAAGTGAACATTGCTTTATGGACATGGAGAAAGTATATAAAATAGTTAATATAGTGATTCAAATATTTGAAGTTAGTAAATTCAGAAAAGTTATTTGAAAAGCTTTTATCTAAGAGTAGTAGGGCGTGTATTCACCTAGTTTTGCTTGCGGGGATTGAGCCTCGGCTCTTTGGTCCCTTCTGTGTGGAGACAATAATGTTTTCTAATTTTGGTCACATTTTATTTATTTTATTTTACATTATTTTCTTCATTTTCATTATTTAAAATGTACTGTAATAAATTTATTTATTTATTTATTAAAATGTATGTATATGTCTCAATATCATTTGAGCTTTGACACACTTTATTTCAGGGGAATCTTGGAACCCACTCAAGTTGAGGTATCAGCTGCGAAATGTACGAGAGCGGCTAGCTAAGAACATGGTGGAAAAGGGAGTCCTTACTACAGAGAAACAAAACTTTCTTGTGTTTGATATGACTACGCATCCGCTTACTGATAATGTTACAAAAACAAAACTTGTGAAAAAGGTATTTTAATTTTTTTTTTTTAATGCTTAATTCTTGGTACAATCTTTTTGACTGTAATGCAGTTGAATTGAGGGTGAGAATGGCAAATTAATTGGCCTTCTCATGATGAAATACATGTGTTGTGTAAATTTTTAATATAATTGAAATGAGAGTTGGAAAGAATGTATTAAGCTACATCACACTATGTTAAGACAAAATATTTCTTACAGTTTAATAGTCTATTTTTTAATAATTTTATTAATTTTAATTAGGTTCAGGACAGTGTTTTGAGTCGGTGGGTGGGTGATCCCCAAAGGATGGATCGGCGGGTACTCTCACTTATCTACCTTGCCCATGCTTCTGACGTCTTAGAAAATGCCTTCGCTCCTCTCTCTGATGATGACTATGAGGTAAGATATTTGTGTGATGGCATTAATGTACACTAAATGCAGTCTGTTCTCTGGGTTAAAAGTTGAGCTTTTTCTAAAGCTTGCCAGTAAGCATTTTCATGAAAGAAAACACTAAAAAAATGGTTAATTACCCATAGATTTGTTTCAGTTTTCCTCAGTTTCCTTTTTGAAGAGAAGAATGATAAGTGGCACTTGTCTGGACTGGACTATAGGGGGGTGAGAAGATTCCTTCAAGAAGTCCACTGGAAAGGCATGCCTTATGAATCTGATAGTTTTACAATAAGGTTGCCAAAATTCAGCATTACAGAGAGGGATTGGGTGCATTGTATATTCTTGGATTACCAAAAAGCCTTTTGATATTGTCCCTTACAAATGACTGATATATAAGTTGGAAAAACAGACTTTGGTAACTATCTTGAGGTTACCTTGATGATTTCAGGGCTTAGCGTTCCCGTGGCCCGGTCCTCGACCAGGCCTCCTTTTTGTTACACATCCTCAGGAAGCAGCCCGTAGCAGCTGTCTAACTACCAGGTACCTATTTACTGCTAGATGAACAGGAGTATCAGGGTGAAAGAAACTGCCATTTGTTTCCGCCTCCACAGGGGATCCAAACCGGAACCTCAGGACTACAAATCCAAAAAAAAATCCTGGACTGCTTGTTATTCATGATGCTATGTAGTGTGTATATGGTAAATGGGAAGCTGTAATTATTAGCTTAAAGCACTGCCTCGTAGTATACTGCTTTCCTGTTTTCTTTGATGTTTGGGAGCAGTGATCACACTCCCTGCTGTGTTATCATACTATAATTTAAATAAATGTGTGTATTGTTATGCATACTGATTTAATATTTTTATTTGGTTCACCTCATGGTTTCCCATAATCTGTGACAGAAAGCCTATTAGTCTTATCGAGCTGTCCCTATTCCAGCTAATGCCCTTTCCCAGGAGGCAACTCACAACAGTTGCCCAACTCCCAGGAACCTATTTACTGCTAGGTAAACAGAAGCGTTGGGTGATAGAAAACAATTAGATGCTGCTGTCCTACTGCAGAAATCAAACCCAGAGCATTTCAGCTGTGGCCCAACTGCACTTACCACTACCATACAGTCTGTTAATCAGTATTTTGCTCTGCTTAAATATTCTCAGACTTCTACTGCTTGTAAGCATGTCATTTCTTTTTAGAGTTTCTCGAGCTTCATTTAATTCTTCATGGATGTATGTTAACATTAGAATATTAAGAGCATGAGAATACATTCCATTTCTGAATTATTTCTCCTAATATTCAGGTTGCTATGAAGCGCGTGCGAGACCTCTTGGATCTTGACTTGGATGTGGAAGCTGCAAAGCCCAATGCCAATGATTTGATGTGGTCAGTGTTTGCGGCATTTATTAAATAAGTCTCTTGTGTCTGAAGGTTGAAGCAGAGGAAACATTTATTAGTGCCTGTGATGATTCTGATGAACACGATTTGAAAAAATATATTTCATATTTATTTATCTGCTGTGTGATATATCATGATTATAATTTTGTTTCGTGTAATCCACATACTTGTTGCGTTAAGAAAGTTTCACAGAAAAGATTTTGTATTATGCATTAGGTGATGGTTGCTCAGAACTTTACAAAGTCACATACTTATTTTGTGAGTAAAAATAAAACTTGTGTAGCATTGCTTTATCAGTAGATTATTGTTCTTATCCTTATCTCCTTTCTCAGCAGCATGGAATGGATTGACTGCATAACTATAGATACATTCAGAAATTATTCATTTAAAGATTAAGCAAATGATTTTGTGTATGTATTATGTTTGTATATTTATATAATACATATGTAGATACTATCATACATACATCCATACATGCATATACATACAGTATACATTTACATATATACATGCATACATAAATGCTTAGGTAGTTCAGGGCATTTACTTCATTGCTTGGAATTTCTTTCGATCTATTCAACATGTTATTTGTTCTCTCGTGTACTTAGTTTCCAGTTTGTAAATTGGTAGCTGCAATAGCTTGATTAACCACACTCATGTATTGGTGTTTTTTGGCCCTGGAAAAGTCATAAAACATACAATTTGCATTTTTATTATTGATTAAAAGTTCTGTAATTTTATTAAGTATTTCAGAGCATATACTCTAATTATTCTTTAGTATCAGAGTATATGAGTTTGTCATGGCATTATGTGTTGTTTACATAGACAAAGTGTATAGGCAGAGGTGTGATGCTTAGATTAGTTACAGTAACTTTACACAACTCGAGCCTGCATGGTCGTGGTGTGGAGGTATGAGGTTGGCTGTACTGTAAATAATCAAACTGGACCCTGACACGTTTTTTGAGGCATGGGAAATCATCTTACTGGCGTCTGGGTAGTGATGTGCGTTTTTAATTAATGCATCTCACGAGTGCATTCTTTAAAGTTTTTAAAAGATAAGTTTTATTTCCAAAGAGCAATGTTGAAGTTACAAAGTGTACGGGTATTGCAGCACCTACGGTTAATGCTATTTTGTTACCGTTCATTTGCAGTACATTTAAGCTTCCAACATCTGTATAGTTGCATTTGCTAGAAGAAATTTGTTTAATACCTTTGCATAAAAACTTGATTTGTTTCAGTTTTCAATTGTTCTGTTACATTACCCCTGCACCACTACCATGTGAGGAGCGTAAGGATAATATTAGCTGGTGCAAATATTTTTATCTCTAACATTAAGTTGCTTTTTATCACATGATATTGATAAAAATGGTGATGGTGTAATGCAAAACTGTATACAAAGCTATTAGCATCAGTTACTGGTAGGTTATGGCCATAAATAAAGGAAAATTAATAAAAATTAAGGATTGTTCACAGCATCTTATTTTTCACTCATTCTCATGTCTTTCCACTAGAGGTGCTGTGTGTTGTTTACCTTGTTGTGTACAACATTGTCAGTATGTACATGAAAACAGATTAGCAAATGTTTTCATTGAAACATCATAAAGGTAAATGTTCCCATAATGTATATTGGAAAATGGGACATTGAGCACCTTTTAGCAGATGAAATTTGCTGATCAAGTTGAATGTTTCTTGTGTACAGTGTTTAAATATAACAAATATTAAAGTGAGTGACCATATCAGTAATCCTTTTTTATTTTGCAAACTTTTAGTTGTTTATGTAGGGCTTTTATAGAAGCAATTTGCATTCCATACCAACAATCAGATTGTAAGAATTGCAAAAATATGGATTTTTGGTCCTTTGATAATACGTAGCTAATAAATCGCCAAGTTGGTGCTGTAGGTTGTGAGATATCCAAGCACACTTGGAGACTGCTGTTTATAATGATCCTGGGCTGTTTCAGAGCTGTGGCCCCCCTCGGCATTGCCAAGTATAAACCAGTAGTATAGGATGATCTTCCTGCTTATAGTTCCTTTTGAAACAAGTTATAAGCATTGTTTATTTTCAAAGGATGAAGTTCCTTAAATCCGTTTGACCAAGAGATGTGAAGTAGTTGAAACGTTGTGGCTGGTGAATGGTAAATTAACTGCTGGGTGTCTATGCATACGTTAAGGAACCCAGTAAATATACATTACTGAGTACTGCACAACTTGAGAAGTATCTTGATGATCTATATTTGGCAACTTTACTATGATAGTTACCTCTTCCTCATAATATAATTTTTTTATGGGCCTAGAGCCTTCAGATTAAATTTTAGTTATTATAGGCTAACTGGTACAGAACATTCAGGATGAAATGTATTTTAATATTTAAAGCTAACTTATCCCAAGTATTATATCTACAAAAGTTTGTTTGCTAAAATACATATAATTAATTATAAGAATTTATGAATCAAATGTTCTTTAAACTAAATAAATTGTTGTATTTTTTATAGCAATGCAAGTCTTTATATTTATAACCTAAAGCACTGTCTTGCCCAGCTTTAGTGAATATTTGTCTTATTTTCTCCCAGCCAGTTGAGATATTTTCATTAAATTGTATACAGTATTGTTGAATTTGTTGACTTTGTATGTGGTACCTGGGAAGGTATCTCCGCCTAAATTTAATTTTCAGCGTGTTATATTGGAGTGATATAGTATTTTAATTAAGAATCGTATTAAAGGAAATCTAACCAATATCGGAAAAGTATATAGTATAAAATAAAATAAAACAAAACAAAAAACATTCACAATTATTTAATTAGTTTTAAGTGTTTAATTGTATTATCAATCAAATTTTTCCATATTTAATCAAAGTTGTGTTATAAAGCACTATTTTATATCAGGTTCTTAATGTAATACATTTTCGTAGGCATTATGTGTAGTTTTGCTGAGTTTTCTATTTAGATGTGAAAACTGTTTTGACACTTGCTTTTGGGTATAATGGGATCATTTGATTTATTTAGTTGTGTACTACGTACTTTAGTGGTTAATTACATGGCTCAAGTCTTGAAATATAAATATTCTGTCAGTTCACCTCAGATTGAAGAACCTTACCTTATCAATACTGGTCCCGATCATTAATTAACATAAGGTTATTGTAAGAATTTTTGCCCTCTGCCTTATATTAAGTCCATAATACCTTGAAAAGAAACTAATTAATGTTGCTAAAATGAGAGAACCTGAGAAATAGTAACAAAGCATAATAACTCTTTTTACTCTGTGAGATAATCTGTTGTCTTAGTCATGCAAACATTTCCTCTTGTGTGTGTTGATGTGGACGACATGATTGGTGTTATGCTATAAGTGCGACTATCATTGGATGTGTCAACTAATTTTTCCCTCCTTCTTATTGTAAGAAATGGATTTATTTAAAAAGGTTTCCTTAATTTTTGTGTCGGTATTAGTTATGGTAAGCTTTTTTTTTCTGATGAGCATTGAAGGTTTGAAATTATTTTACATTGGCTATTATTTCATGCTCAGCATTCTTAGTAACACTAAGCTTTTATATACTGTACAGTATTTTTTAGTTTGTGTGAAAAGTAAACATGCATGCACATTACTGCTGTGTAAATTGGAATTAACATCTGTGCAGTGGAAGTTCATACAGTACTTTTCCCAGATTATAATCTCTTAACAGCAAAAAGACCAATATTACTTTTTTTAACAATTTAGTACCGTATAGGCAAAATGTTTTATAAGCTGCTTGCATATTACAGATATTTCAAGTGCAGCTATATATGTGATTGTTCCTTGCTGTAAGCACAAAGCTTATTTGTACCTAAGTAAGGATTTTGCTTTTAGCAGCACCAGAAGATATATCTACAGCTTTAATAAGTTTGTGACCATTATTAGTTTTGTACATTTAAAATGGGTTTTATAATATATTTGTGAAGTAACACAAGCAACTTGGTGTGCATCTTATGTACATAAAAGTTGTTGAAAATGTTTGTACTGTGCATCTGTAAGATGAAATGTCAGCTAATATAAGCATGTTGTCAAAGACAGTGTCATCTTTGTATCGGTACTGGCAGATTTTACCAATAGCATTCCATAGAAGACATTGAGCTTGGTAGTGGTGATTTCCCACTTGTTTTATGTTATATATAAATATAACTTCTAAACATCTGCACTGTGAACAGGTTTAATAATAAAATCAGTTTGTTAATTTTTGTCTTCTTATCCCTTAATAATTGGTTTTTGGAATTCTTTTATGTTATTTAGTTCAGGTAGTGTGCATTTAGAAATATCATATTTTTTCTATTATAAATAAGAAGATTTTACAAGCCAAATATAAGTAATTGTAATTTTTTCCAAGAACACTAATCACACATGGAAAAAGAGTAAGAAATTCAGTGTTGTGTTGTACATTAAAGTTTTCGTATTTCTATACAGTATTGTAGATCTCGATCTTTGATGCCTTGTTCCTTCCATGTGGAAGGGATGACTACCAGATATCTTTAGTGTATGGAGTAAATATTTGTCAAATAATTTTCCATGCTGATGTGGGTGTCATAGAAGTAAACTAGCTCGCAGTGAAAATTAATAATATTTGAAAGTGAGGATTCCCATTATCAAGCTCAAAATACATAAGATAGTAAAAAGAGAAGGAAACGAAAGTTTGGAGGCACAGGATGGGAGGAGCCTATATACTAATATATACTTTTGAAGGTTTAGAGCATGGAAGAGACTATGAAGGGCACTGCACGGAGTGTAACTAATGATAGAGGAATGGGTACACAAAACACACATGTTTGGTGAATTTCTTCAGAGTTTTGGCCATTGTGTTGACAACAATTGTCTTTGCAAAAGTCATTGTATTAGGGAATATTAAACAAACACTAAGATTAAACTTAGTTTCTCTTGTGTTAAAAAAGTGTTTCTAACAAGGATAGAATCATGGAAAATATTACATAAATTTAACTCAATGTGAACAATTCCTGGATGGCAATAAGTGATCAGTTGACTTGATTTTATCTGCCACTTGAACTCCAATCCATCCTCCAAAATAATTGAATGTACAAAATATGACCTGTTTTGAAATATACTTGTCTCTGTCTCAGATGATGTCATTTTATGTAAAGATTTAAAACTGCTACAAAACTACAGAAAACAAATCCTTGATTTCAGACCATCAATTGCTGTGGAACCTGGTATTTCCTAAAGGGTTGCTATGTGACTTAACCTGATCAGCATATGACAATCACACACCACTCACATGTCATCCTGAAAAGCTGGATGAAGCTAGCCAACCCCAAGCATCTGGTCTCCATCCACAAACAGAAAGACAGGTACACTCCAGTGTTCATGTATTATTTGTATGTACGTTTGCATTATCATTATTATTATTATACAGATTAATTTGTCTTAAATTTCACGATGTATAAGATAAGGATAATGGGTTGGAAAGTTATAAATTTTAATAATTCACTGTACTGTAGTTTTTTGTATTATATAGAGCCAGTTCCTATATAACCATAAGTTTACCCCCCACCACCCCACCCCTTCTAAGAGAGAGAGAGAGAGAGAGAGAGAGGTCCTGTAGACACCAGCTCCCTGCCAGTAGAGGTGAGCTTGAGTGCTGCTACATTACACATCAGTCATGCTTCATTGTTTATATCTGGGCCAGTGATAACATTAACCAACTGTGTTTTGTATATTGTTTCTTGTTTGTGTTGCAAATATAACGAAATGCTGGCATTAATTTGTTTCAAAATTTCCATTTGAAATAACTGTGGTGATTCTAGAAATATGAATATTTCTATAATTATCTGTGTGACTTTAGATCTTCCTCGTGCATATTCATTTATATTATTTACTTTGGTCCATTAAATTAGATCTCTATTACCTAACTGAATTTCATTTACCCATGTATGTTCCCCTCCCTCCCCCTACCCATTACAATAAATTAAATGATACAAGAATCATCAACTGTGTAATTATTGTCATTTAATCTTCCCTCTCAAGTGAGGGATCACGCAAACTCAATATTTAATATGGCCGACTAATATTGTGCAAAGCCGAGAGTGCTCCTTAGAGGTAAAAATCAGAATACAACATTTTTAACACATTAAAAACAATTTATATAAATCCACATATCTAAAAACACAAAATATTTAGACACTGGCCATCATGAAATCCCTGTTTGTGAACCATCAGCGTCGCCGTTGCCATGGCAACACCCGCACACATCACTACACTTCACTCTTGTAGAGTTGTAACATAAATTCTGCCCATTAACCTTGATAATGAAACAACTAGGAAGTGGGTTAACCAACAGGAATTACTGGCATGTGTCACTTAACCTCTGGGAACCGAGCTAAGTAGCATATGCGTTTGAAAACGTTGTACGTTTAGCTAACTAACTAGCAGTGTCACTGATTACCATGTGTCACTAAATCACTGTAGCATGTTACCAGTGTAGCAAACTAACTAGCATTCATCACTTCTCAATAGCAGGCTAACAAGCCTATATGACTAAATCACGGTGAGGTGGGCCAACTAGCTTAGACTACTAGCACATATCACTAAATCACTAAAGCGGATTAACTAGCGTGTCACTAAATCACTTTGAAGAGATAACTAGCTCGGACTATTATCGTGTGTGATTAAACCTTGAAGCCAGTTTGATGAAAAACATGTCACGTTCGGTTATATACAAATAATGAACATAACGAGGGGCAACAGCTTGAAACTCAACAAACCACATTATAGGGTAGAACAACAGGTGGTTTTTCCAGTGGTTATAAACCCACGGAACTTCCTACCCGCCGAAGCCATAAATTACAAGACATTACTTCAGTTAAAAATAAAAAAAAGAGAAATGGGAGACCTTTGATAAACCGCTGTCTTTCTGTCCTCGTCGAGGCCACTAGAGAAATAATGGTTGTCAGGTAAATTTCAGACAAATACAATTGCGATAGAAAGCTTCTAACTAATGCTAAAGGTATCTACATGTATACTTGTAACTCCAATGTCATCAAACCTAAACTTGTAAACTGTGCACGCAATACTCTAAACATTGAAAGCTAACAATGGATGATAGTAAAGCCCCTAAAGCTAATGACAAAGCATCTGGGGCGCCGTCCTTGGCCAGGAGTGGCCTGCAGGCGAGCGGCTCGGCCATGGCCTCGTCCAGAGCCGAGGTTATGGCCAGGGCGGCTTGGGCCAAGTTCCAGGTGCCTAAGAAGGTGAAGGTGAAGACCCCGTTCCAGCCTCCCCCTGAGAAGGATCTGTTCCAGTACACAGGACGGACCGCCAGGCAGCTCCACCAGGCGAGTCCTCGCTCGCTGGTCTTCGCTGCACTCGAGTTGCAGCGGCGAACACAAATGTTATAATGCAGCTTTTGTATTATTTATTTGTTTAATTGTTATATTACGCAGTACAGTTGTTGCATTGGGTAATACAAATGTTTTATTAGATAATACGAAAGTTGTATTATATTTTACGAGGGTTATAGTTGTTAAATTAAATAATAGTTGTATTATATATGAGAATTAGGTGTTTAATGACACTAAATAAACAATTTACAATAGTAGCGAACTATTTACAATAATTAAATTAAATACATTAGTCTCGAAGTTTGCATAATTGACAGTGTATATTGGCAGGGTCTGCATAACCGTTTTGAGAAATGAGCGCCAAATAATGTTCTCTATAGCTAATTTGGTTAAAATAATAATGAGTCATTTATTACACATAAAATACTCTTCTGGGTATCTTCGTGCAGAAAATTAACGTGCTGATATATTAAATATATACGATCTTGACTAACAAGAGTTCCTTCGTAGGATCTGGTTAAGAGTGGCACCGAGGCGCAGTTAGCGTGCCGTGTGAGGCGGGGCGAGGTCGGTGGGCGGCCTCGTCAGGAACGTGTGGAGGAGCAGCTGGGTCCACCCCGCCGGCGACGCAGCAAGGTCACCCCCACACAGCCACACACCGCAGATGACTACCTGCTGGCCGTCCGCACCACCGCTCGCGATAAGGTAACATCCACCTGCTTGATTGGGTTCTGGGAGTTCTTCTACTCCCCAAGCCCGGCCCGAGGCCAGGCTTGACTTGTGAGAGTTTGGTCCACCAGGCTGTTGCTTGGAGCAACCCGGAGGCCCACATATCCACCACAGCCCGGTTGGTCCACCTCTTTCTCTAAAATTAACATCAGTGACAAATTCAATTCGAGGAACCCAAAGTCATGTAATTTCTTCGAATTTCGATATTTCCACGATTAAATCAGAAATATATAAATTTAGGAATTTAACAGCGCACTTCCATTAAATACAGAATGTTAGTCTTCCAACAAATACTAAATGTTAGTTCTTTAAATGATTCCTAGTTGTCAAGCTCGAGATCTCTTCCTGCAGAACTTGGCTCGGGTGGCAAAGGTTGAGTCAGAGCGGCTGCAGAAAGAGCTGGAGAGTGAGAAGGCCATCAACACTGAGCTGGAGTCACAGCTCCAGCATCACGAGGCTGCACTGCAGGAGTTTCTCCAGCATCATTATCGCCAAGTGACTGAAGCCTTAACAAAGTTAGTGCCGAAATTATAAAGGTCTTCTTAGGAATATTGATGGTCGTAATTAGCTTGTTACATACTCTGAAGTCCCTCATATATACAAGGGTGGCAGCACATTGCTGTGTGAACCTAGGTTTGCTAATAAAACAAAGTTTGTTAATAAAAAAATTGTTCAATCGCGTCGTAGCCATCACGATCGAGATAAGAAGGAAACGTTTCCTTAAAACTGTGCGTAGAATTTGCCTCCACTACTTCAATTCTTATCACATTACATTTGTTCATTATCATGACACTGAGTATGTAAAGGTATGTATGTATGTATTATCCGTAATATTTTATACACATAGCCTATTATCCATACTAAATCTAAGATTCGAACAGAGGTGAAACTGCACGGCGTAACTTAACTGAACAAGAAATTCGCATCGACTACTTCTCGGGTCTGTTGGCTGAGGCCAGGACAGTCCAGGAAGAAGAGGAGGAGCGCCTACAGGAGCTCACAGCCTTCCAGCAGTTCTTGGCAGCTGTCACGCCGTCACATTCTCTCAAGGATCTCAAGCGGCGCCTACAGGAGGTTCAGGACGAAGTGAAGGTAAGAAATATTGTTCAGTATTTCGTCATTGCTTGAGTTTTATTACTGAGACACAAAAATCCTTAGAATAATAACATAAATATTGTTTTTATATGACGGTGAAACACTGAGACAATTGTCAGCTGCAAGTAATATTTAGTTATATACAGTTTGGTTTTGGAATGTGCCTTTCATACAGATAACTCACGGGGAAGCAGATGAGGGCAACGATCCAGCGTCTTCAAATTCCCTTGATATTGCCCTTGCAGCCTCAGTAGCCGCGTCTAGCACCTCTGGAAATGTGTCTCCCAGTGGTAAGTCACTCACAGAGTTAACTAGTTTAATCAGGGCCACAAACAAGGATACCTGTGGATTTAGCCATACATTATCAAAGGTTGAACCAGGGAAGATGATCGATGATTAATTCTATACAAGGAGTGCAAGTACATTAAGTATCTCGTAGAGGCTCGTATAGTATCACAGTTATTACAGATGTGGTACAGTTATTACTAGGCTAGACGAGGCTACATTATTATTAGGTAAAGTGTAGTAAGACCTTAGGCTACGTTAGGATGGTGGAACATTTTTAAATTAACCGGTGGTAACACTGTTTGGTTAGCATGAGGATAACGTTATTGTGATAGGCTGATGGCAGCATTATTGAAGTATGGTCTCAGAATTTACAGCTTCATCGAGTAAGCGATTCCATGGGTTTATGACCCTTTGATTGAAAAGGCATCTGTTTTCTGTCCTACACTGTGGATTGTTGAACTTATGTGTGTTGCATTGGATCTTACAAAGAAGAGGTCTGGATTAATATTTCAATTTGTTCAGTATTTTGAAGGTTTCGATGAGATCAACAGTTCATGTTTGGTGTGTAGTGTTGTTAGTCCAGTGGTCCTCAGCCGTTCTTAGTAAAAGAGTTAACTGAGTTCTGGGTGATTTTTGTCACTGTGTTAAACTTTCTCCAAGCAGCCTAACACAAGTTAATTTTTAGAATTTATAGTTCATTGAACTCAACTGTACCCAAGCCTATAACCATTATAAACTCTATGATTCCGAAAGGATTCGAACGTGGGGGGCCAGGTATCACTCCACTGGCTACCACAGTACAGATACCACTGCGCTATCGACTGCCTGTAGGTATTGGTTGGTCCTGGAGCTCATAAGTTGCCACATAAGCTCCACGACCAACCAACACCCGGCAACACTTGTGGTGCGTTTTGGGCATAGTTTTTCATCAAATCCTGTCACATGGTGAGAGCGCGCTGGGTATACAAGCGTGAAACAAAGCTTGAATGATCCCCAAGCTGTAGATCATTATAAATCTTAAATTGATTACACATAAAGCTAAATTCCTTAGCATTGATATAAACTCGTACTTCAAGCATTTTTCTTCTCGGCTGTAATACTGCATTGCTTTAATACTCTTTATTTGCGCACAGGTGAAGGAGGAGGAGGAGGGGCATTAGGAGCTGACCTTATGTCACTACGCATGATGAGGCCAGGGAAGCCCTCGTGTCAGTCACCAACCCGAGCAGGAGACAGACTCTCGCAGACACCTGAAGACACCACAGAGCTCGCCACCATTCCTCAAGATGGTCCAGACACGTGTGATGCCGCAGCCTTTGGTAGGTTTAATCATATTAGTTAATGTATCTTTGGTATGATCATTTGGATGAAGATGTAATGCTGCTAAAGTTTGAAGCAACTTAGTTTGAAGCACCATAAACATTAAAGGTTAAGTTTGAAGCACCAAAACATTAAAGTTTGAAGCAACATAAACATTAATGTTTGAAGCAATATAAACGCTAAAGTTTGAAACAATATTGACATTAGAGTTTAAAGCCACATAAACATTCAAGTTTGAAGCAGCATAATTAAAACTTGAAGTAACATAAATATAGAGGTTCCAAGCAACATAAATTTCTGGCAAAATCAAGATTCTAGAGCCACCTATGTAGTGTTGTGTGGCTACCTCTTCATTCACACTTTTTCCGATGTCACTGTAATCTTCAAATGCGAGTTCTCACAACATGAGGTCCATCACCTGACAGATGAGTTCCTGGGTGATGACGGCCACCTTGTGGACCTTGCCTGTGTGTATGAGTCTCAGTGCCACGCTCTATTGGCTCTTCTCACCAGGTAGGCCTCTCCTCACTCTACTAGAAATTTTGTATGATCCAGTTCGACGTTATATCATAATTTATCATTCTACATTTCTCTCTGTTCACAGTAGAATAATTTTGTCTGCATTACATCACGGTAAATCTCTTATCAAATAATATATCTAATTTTCCTTTGAATTTCTTATGACCGACGTATATGATAGTTGGTATATGATAGATGTAGATATGATAAATTGTATTCTATGACTCGGGTAGAAGAATTAAGCTTTTTAAATAATTTATGTGTAATATCTACACGAAATTAGGAAAAGTAATCAGTAAAAAAGCTTAAATACTCAGGTTGAGGGCGCAGACAGAGGCCATCAACAAGGAAGGGGACACCCGGCAGAAGAGACTCGACAGCCGCCTGCAGGAGATACAGCAGCTGCAGGAGAAGGCTAAAGGCGGAGGACACGAAGATCAACTACGAGATCTTCGCACACTTATAGGGGAATGGCCGAGATTATCAGGCGATGCCGAGGCCCAGTGCCAACTCGACCAGCTGGTGGCACAGGTATGTTTTTCCACGTTACAAAATTGCGTTGATTTTGATGTGTAATTCCTCGATCTATATAATCCCCAGTCATCACTGATAACATCTGATGCAATATACTCACTCCAGTAAAGCAGCACAAGAACGGAAAGTTAAAATCTATACATTTGTATCGTGTTATTATCTTAGTAACTGTCAAAGCAAAATCTTCAGATATAAAATTTTTCATTGATTGCTTTATGAGTTTGTTATTTAAACGAACTTGTTTCATTGTAGTCTATATTCTAAGTAAATCACGTATGATTACAAATATTTTTAGTTAGATGTACAATAAGAAAAGATGTGGTTAGAGATCTGTTATATATATCTAACTTACACACATTAAAGAATGTGTGTAAAAACTGTTAAAGAGTCAGTTTACTTTCCTAAGGTACTTATAGGGTACTTTCCTTGATTCTTTAAGTTTATTTGTATTTCACGCTGTTAGTTAGTTAAGTTCATTTATTAGGCACCCATACCCATCTTGTGGGGGGTAGTGAAAAGGGTTACAGAGGCACATGTTAGGCACAGGGTAGGATAGGAGACTTTAGTCCGACATTTTCTTGACGTTGGTAAATCTTAGTAAGACGGGCTGGCTTCTGACCCTTCCTTCTCTGTCTGCCAAGATTTCCTCGCTCTTGAACATGCCTGCTGCAACTTTCTTGGACACATTAATCATTGCCTCTAACAAATTGTTAGACTTTTCCCCATATAGTCCTACTTCACAAACTTTCCAGATTGCGGAAGTTGTGAGTGACGTGTTTGGATCAAGCGAGTACTCTCCGCTCGTCCCTCCAACCCAGACAGCCACTGTCAGTAAACAACAAGTTCCCAAGACTACAACTCGACCTAAATGTATGTAAACAGTAGGATGCTGGAGTGAATTTTCATCCTCGTAGTTTCCTACCTTGTGCTTCAAACTCAAACTGTATCTTGTACTACCCACTTCCCTAAAAGGAAGGGGGTGGTAGTGGTGGTGGGGGGGGGGTAAGACAAAAGAACATAGAAACTGCAGACGAGTAGTCACAATAAAGTGCCTGAAATATGTTGACCAAACCACACACTAGAAAGTGAAGGGACGACGACGTTTCGGTCCTTTCGATTGTGTCACAATCGACATGAGAATGGTCCAGGATGGACCGAAACGTCGTCGTCCCTTCACTTTCTAGTGTGTAGTTTGGTCAACATGGAAACTGTATTGGAGGGGACCTAAAAATCCCCTCTAATGCGTTATGTGTGCTTTTCTCTGAGGCTAAGGGTCCCCTTCTTCCAGCCAGAGATGGTACTCCCTTCCTATTCTTATCCAGGCTTATACCCACAATTAACTACTACTCACAGGATGAGTACTTGGTGCACAATAATGTCAACTAGTATTTGAATCAGTAAATGAATATTTCCTTGTATATATAATGAAGGAAACACGTGTAGGTGTAGGATGATACATAAATCGTATAGGTTTGATTCGTCTTATATTTACCCATTTGGCAGCAAAGGACGGCAAGGGGAGCCCCAGCGAGGAACCCATGCTGGACCCCGTCAGTGATGGAGCCGCTGTGAGCCACGGGATGGGCCAGGAGGCGCTGTTAGCGCTCCTGGAGGCCAGAGTCACAGATCTGTGTGCCCAGCTTGACAACATTGACCCGGCGCTGAGAGACGCCATTTTCTTGGTGAGGACTAAAGGTCTTAAGGATTTAAAAAAAATTGCTTAAAAGTAAATTTTCCCTATATCAGTATGCTTACCTAACCTCACCTAAACTAACATAACCTGCCTATACTAGCCCAAAAATAAAGCTTCTGAGCCTGATTCTGAATACACAGTTTAAGGGGATGCTAGTGAATATTATTAATAGTACTGATTGTTACAGAACTGTGAACAAACTCGACGAGCTCGTCTTAAAGAGGAGAAGCGGCTAGAGACTGAGATGAAACGAGCTGAACGCAAGCAGCGACACTTGGAGCGAGCCTTGGCCGAACCCCCGCCTAAACCACTGTGATCCACGCAGAATCAAAGCCACTTGGAGCGAGCCTTGGCCGACTACCACCTCGACTCCAGAAGGCAAGAGGTGCCATAAACATTTATGAACTTGGGTCGCCTAGTTGACGTCCTCAAGTATCAGAGAATCCACTACTCTAACTTAAAAAAATCGTACTTGCGAGAAGTGTTAAGGTAACACCGTGAAAACTCGCAGAAATTGACTCCATACCAAAATCCAAATGGTAAGTTTATAATATACCTATTAATCTCGTGCCATGCACGCAAGAATTCCCTGCCACATAAAACAGGTAAAGTAGGGAAATGGGTTATAGGATTTGTTAAAGGACAGAGCACAGCCTACTGTATAGTTAATAATTAAGCTAATAACACATCTAAGTACTTTGTTTTTGTTGAGCTTAAAGCATGGGTGAGCTTACACTTATGAGTGAGTTTACATTCATGGGTGAGCGTTACAAATCAGTTAAAGCTAGGTATCATATATGCAATACTTTCTTAATCTCTCTTCCCCCCCCCCCCGTCAGTTTATTTGTAGGATGAAATGACATACTATTATGTTTCGCTATATAAGTATTTTGTTATGATTTTGTATTATGCTGTTGTGTGTCAGTGTTGATAGTATTCCTTTATATATATTTTGAGGGTTTATCATGGTTGAATAGAGTCAGTTGGGACTGGTCGCTTGGTGTACATGACCATGTGGTCTGGTCAACATACTTTAGCCACGTTATTGTGACTCATCGCCTGCATATAAGGAAGTTTGTCACACGTCGTGACCAACTGGGCTATTTGATCAACCCTGTAATTATATTTTTGTATGATGTTAATATTCCTGAACGTTATTCTGTATGATGTAAAGTGTGTATATATATATATATATATATATATATATATATATATATATATATATATATATATATAAAGTTTATATTTGTGTTTGGAGCGATTATTCCCAGTATGTCAGTGTCTGAAAGAGTTTGCCTCTGATATGTTTTGGTAACTGGACGTCGCCACGCTTGCCAGCGAGGAGAGCTCAGTAGCGTAGGTTGTATGGAGGTGGGCGGACCTGTGTTATGGGTAAGTCTGTTGTTTGGTTACTGTTTTATGTTCATTGTGCTTGATAAGATGTCTGGTTTGACTATTTGTCATAACATATGTCATCTATCTTGTGTAGCATTAGTCACTGATCAGCGTTTAGAGGTGTTATTTCACCCCATTGAAGTGTGAGTTTATTTCTGGATTGTTCAGTGCTTATTCTATGTTGTGTGCTATTGTTCCCCCATTATGAAGTATATTAATGTTGTTAACCTCGGTTAAAGGCAAACGTGTATGAATACGCTCTGGCTTCCTGAATTAAATGGGTTGACCATTAATTTCTTGTGATTATTATTGTCTAATAAGGGAAAGGCAGAGGAGTTACATATGGGCATAAAAAGGCCGTTTGATATTACTATTACTATTATTATTTGTAGTGGCAGCATTAGTTTCAGTATAGTTTAAACACTGTAAGCATATACTGAGGAGGATACACAAGGAAATCATACTCGCGTGACATGAATGATAAAATTAATTTGAGCAATGAGGGGATCCGAATCCTCGACTTAGGAACTCCCAAACCACGCACCTTACCTCTGGACCACAATATGGTATAAAGTATACTGCCTGGGATTCCACAAAATCTGGAGTATATGTTGGAAGAACTCTATTACCTATTCCAGAGTACAGAGTGCATCTTCACAGTTATATGTAAAACCTACACTGACTTCAGTAGGGGGCCTCCATACGTCCTGTGGGTCGGCTTGGAAGTACCCAGGTTGAGGGTTCAAATCCCGCCATTGCTCCAATTGATTCTATCACTAAGGGTTCCGGCTATCTGCAGTCACTTATTAATTTATTTATGTATTTATTTATTTACTTAGCCACTGTTGTTTCTCAATGTGGTGAAACATGTTTAAAGAGTATCTTTAAAAGCGTATTATTATTTTAGCCGTGATGCATTATATATTTTATGAGTTTATATCGAACACATGCCTATATATATATATCAAATACAGTTAAATGAAAAGGTGCCTATCAATTAAAATCCACAAAAAATTTACATGTTCACCTACTCTGACATAAACACATCGACGTACAGCTGTTCTACCTTGACACACACACACTCGTCTGGGTGCCTCATTTTTCATCCTTATAAATATAATATTTACCTTCCATATATATTCACCTTCCATATATATACAGTATATATATATATAGTTATTTCTTTTCTTCATCTCGAACGAACAAGACTTTTGGAGAACTCCACTTCCAATTAAACTCAGATGCAAGAGCACTAGTAAGAGGGATAGAAGCCCTAAACCAGAAAATAATCAATACAGAATATGCAATATACAGTACCTGCTGCCAGTATACACACACACACACATATATATATATATATATATATATATATATATATATATATATATATATATATATATATATATATATATATATATATATATATATATATATATATATATATATATATATATATATATAATATATATATATATATATATATATATAAAATCTTAAAGCATATTGATATTCCAGTACAGTTCTTAAATTTAAGCAAGTAATATAGTTATCAGGTTTACACACAAAAAGCATCTGTAGTTAATTTACATTATTGTTTGATCAGTTTTGTACAGCAGTAGCGTGCTTAACGTTTTCCAATAAATTATTAATACATATCACAGTATTTTACATTATAAACCAGAATGGACAAACAGTCTGTCTCATGTACTGTAACCAGGGACAATTTCTGCATTTGTTCTGGCTAAGGATGGATTGTTATGACTATGTCAGATGGTCACATTTTTTTGCACTGTACTATATTTACAAGAAAACGTAAATTTTCTTTTTATATTAGCGAAACAAAACCACTATTTTTGTCTTTAAATTGTGTTTCTAAAGAATACACAGGAGCAGAGATAGGAAGGATGAGTGTAGGAGAGAGGGAGTACAGAGTGTCAATGATAAAAAGTGCTTATAATATATTATAGAGCAAGAGAGAGAGAGAGACAGACTTCTATACTGGAACAATGTTTAAGGGGTCAGATACAGGGTCATTAGAGGAAGATGGAGCTGTCCCCTTATTGAGTTATTGTTTCAATGCATAGATCAGATTATGTTAGCTTCAGTTTTATAACCATGAAAAGCCTTAGACACAATTAGCGATATGAAATATATTTTCCTTAAGGCCACTAACCAAGAGTCACACACATGTTCATGAGCAAATATTGTATATCTTTTTAGTCAAGATTCTTCAACAAAGGTCCCGGGGAAAGCTGCTCTGGACACTAATGTTCGTTGTCAAATTATCTTATCTTTAATATTTAGACAGAAGTTCACGTACAGTCCATCGGCAAGTTTCTGTTTGACCTTCAACATAGGTTCATCAAAAAGTGTCACACCTTCCAGACCTTCGTCTTCTAACTTGTCCCCAATTTCTACACTCTTACCACCAGTTCCAACTTCCTTATCTGCTCCAATCTGTAAAAGAATTATAAGGTGAGTAATATCCTGTTAACCAGACCTGCAGGTTGATCAGCTGGGGCAGTGGACGTAGGCCTATCGTGGAATGAGAAGGAAATTGCAAAATATCTTCTGCAGGGAATTAACAGATCAAGGCATAGGAGCATCATAGGAAAATTTTATAAATGTCATCACTGAACTTATTAAAAATACATGTCAAGAAGGAGAAAGAAACGAAAAATAACTAAATGAATGACAAAGGCAGTAAACAAAATGCTTTAATAACAACGAGCAACCTCTGGAAGAAGCATCAGTCCACCAGAAAAAATATAGAGTAAGAGATGTACAGAAAACTTGCTCATAAAAATTAGAAATCTCAAAAAGTTTTTCATTCCTGTAATATAACAAGTAAAACTAAAACAAGAGTCTGTGGAAACCTTAAAAATCAATCAAGTTTTAACTGACGATAAAAAGGCAGCCAACAATGAATATGCACTTTACATTAGTGTTCACGCTTGAAAGCTTAGACAACCTCCCGGTGCACACACAAATGTCTGAAGGATATGAATTAATGATATTTGAGAGTGAATTAAGAATATTTCCATATCGTGCGTAGCGATCAGGAAGAGCACTGACAAATTAAAGGAATCTAAGCAATAGTACGCCAAGAACTTCAACAAAATCTTGTAGCTCTGAGTCAAAGTGAAATCGACACCAGTAATTCCATCTATCATCATACTATCATGCAAGAGGAGCCACACATCTATGGATCCAGTAAAATCATCAGACTTCTAGATGTTACTACTTCTCTGCTTAGACTGTTACAAGTATCTCTGAGAATTCTCATTATCTGCTGATGTAGACCTGACCTGTCAACTGTCAACAAAATGATTCGCATTCCCTCCGTCACTGTGTGATGGAGTGCGAAAAGATAGGTGAATTCAGAGACAATTCTATAACAAATGTTCCAAAGGTGTGTAAATATTTCATTCAAAATTATCTGCTACCAGAAATATTAGCCAAATATCCCCAGTTTGCTAACTGTTGGTAGTAACTAAGTGACGATGTGTATTGAATTATGTAACTAGCTCATCAAGATTGTAACTTCTTTTAGTTAAATGAATTGTGGGGTTCTGTCCCTGAGCCCATTATGTGCCTCTGTAACCCTTTCCACTACCCCCCACAAGATGTGTATGGGGTGCATAATAAATGAACTAAACTAACTAAAAACTCTAAGTACCCAGGTGTGGATGGAATTGATACAAAATTATTAAAAAATTGGCCGAAGAATTGTGTCTACCACTGAAATTTATGTTCACAAAATCTCAGGACCAAGGGGAAAGTCCCATTTGATTGTAAATATGCAAATGTCCTTCCCCCGCCATCTTCAAACAATGCAGAAAGAGCTCGGCAGAAAACTACCGTTCGATCAGCCTTACCTCGCTTATCTGTAAGCTCACGGAGAGAATCCTAAGTGAAGTAATCATTATCTCACTGTACACAGTCTAGTAAAATCAACGCAACATAGTTTCATTAAAAATAGATCCTGTCTTAAAAACTGCTCACATGTTTGGAAATGGTAACCAACAATTCAGACAAAGGACTTCCAGCAGATGTAGATAGGCTTTAAAGCTTTGATAAGGTACTACATGGAAGACTGGCAAGGAAATTACAAGAACATGGAATGTTGGGGTAAAATACTAGAGTTGATAAAACAAAGGAAGCAAAGAATCGTCCTAAATGGAAATGAATCTGATTTGAAAAACGTGGTGAGATGAGTACCGCAAGTTCCATATGGGGCAACCTTTTTCTCATATACGTCAATGACAAAGATGAGAATATTACAACATACATCATCAGATATTCACATGACACTAAGATTCATAGTAAAGTGAAAGTGAAAATTATATTGATGCTTTATACAGAGATTTACACGAGCTCGACAAATGGTCAGAAAACTTGTAAACACTTTTCAGAATTGAAAAATACGAGACCTTATTTGTAGTACATAA